ATTCAGGGCACCCAAGAAAGTCCAGCAAGCACCAGGACCGTCTTCTAAAGTTGTTTCAGCTGTGGGATCGGGGCACCACCAGTGCAGAGCTTGCTCAGGAATGGCAGCAGGCAGGTGAGTGCAGCTGCACGCACAGTGAGGCGAAGACTTTTGGAGGATGGCCATGTGTCAAGAAGGGCAGCAAAGAAGCAGCTTCTCTCCAGGAAAAACATCAGGGACAGACTGATATTCTGCAAAAGGTACATTGATTGGACTACTGAGGACTGGGGGTAAAGTCATTTTCTCTGATGAATCCCTTTTCCAATTGTTTGGGGCATCTGGAAAATACCTTGTCCGGAGAAGAAAAGGTGAGCGCTACCATCAGTCTTGCGTCATGCCAACAGTAAAGCATCCTGAGACCATTCATGTGTGGGGTTGCTTCTCAGCCAAGGGAGTGGGCTCCCTCGCAATTTTGCCTAAGAACACAGCCATGAATAAAGAATGGTAAAAAAACGATTTTGCCATCCTCCAAGAGCAACCATTCAAGAACAGTTTGGTGACGAACAATGCCTTTTTCAGCATGATGGAGCACCTTGCCATAAGGCAAACGTGATAACTAAGTGGCTTGGGGAACAAAACATTTCCATTTTGGGTCCATGGCCAGGAAACTCCCCAGACCTTAATCCCATTAAGGTCTGACAAACTCAAAGCATTGATTTATGCAAGAATGGCCTGCCATCAGTCAGGATGTGGCCCATAAGTTGATTGACAGCATGCCTGGGCGAATTGCAGAGGTTTTGAATAAGGTCAACACTGCAAATATTGACTCTCTGCATAAACTTAATTTAATTGTCAATAAACGCCTTTGACGCTTATGAAATGCTTGTAATTCTAATTCAGCATACCATAGTAACCTCTGACAAGACTATCTTCAAACACTGAAGCAGCAGACTTTGTGAAAATTAATTTGTCATTCTTAAAACTTTTGGCCAAAACTGTATGGGTCACCTCTCTATGTACAGCTATTTTGCTAAGGGGGTTACATTTAATGTCGGGTTTTTAAATGGATTTGTAACAAAAAATATAAATATTCTACAGGATGTTTACATATTGGTAAAATTGGCTTTTTTTAAAATTGGTATGATTTCAGTCTGTCAATATACCCAATGTTGCAATCCTGTATTTTACATCTGTGAAAGTAGTCAAGACATTGAAAAGAGCAATAAAAGGTGTAGTGCCCATAAGCCATAACTAATAACATCTAGATTGAAACGTACTGGAATCATTAATGTACATCACCTACAACTGTTAAAACAAACATGTTGCATCTTTAAACAAATTCACCTGAACCTGAAAGCAGGCCCATACATGTGCCTGCACCCATCGGCTGCTCATGCGCCCCAGCAACCAATACCCTAGGGCATGGTCTTATGCAAATATAACTTGACCAGAGTTAAAATCTGACCAACCCCTTCCCACCTCTTGCACCTCACTGTTGGCAACTCCCATTGATAGGTGGATTTACTGCCCAATTGTGGGGTGCAGGAGTAGGAATGGGCCAAAGCTTAACTTTCTGTTAGTTTGGAATTGCATTTAAGGACTCCCTACCCCGCTTTTTAAAGCATTTATATTGCTTTTCTATTGAGAGGGAGCAAATTATCCTTACCAGCTGTTATAATTTCCAGCATGCAGGACGAGCAGTGCCATCAAGGCCTAATTTCATGTGAACCAATTGTATCACCAAGAATGCAATCCTTTATTTTAAAGTAGCAGAAACATTACATAAATGCCAGTTGTGATAAGCTCATGGGTCTAAAATGAGCTAAAAATACATGTCTTTCCACTACTGTATTAATTTCTTTTTCCCTTAACTGACTTCTGGGTTAAAGGGATGGATTATTCTTCTCTTCTGGGTCAGCAAGTTAAAACTGTTTATCTTTAGTGAATATATATGTACACCCACCCTGCCCTAATATATATATATGGTCAAGCATCATCAAAGTTCATAGCTTGTAGCCCTTTGCGGAAAAAAGAACTTTAGCTCTGGGCAAACAAATCTGTGTATTTTATCACATTTCGCACTCCTGGAATGTTCCTCCTTCCTTGATTTCATTACAGGATCTTGGCAAAGGCTCTAGGCCAGAGTCAATGCTTCGATTATAGCCATCGACAATGGCTGCTTTGCTGGACCCTTTTTGAAAACCGACACCCGGCACAGAACTGTGGCCTATGGGTGCTAGTGGAGTTCAACATCAATCTGCATGGTCTGTGTTATGTTGCCAGACAGTAAATCAGCTGTACTGTGCGTCAGCCAGACACCAGTAGCACTTGCTGCCTGTTTCCATCTCTTTGCAAATCCCGGGCCTATCACTCGATAGACCTGGAAAGGAAGTAGTGAGGAAGTGAGTGCCACTGCTAGTTCAGAATGTTCCAGTGTGGTTGGAAAGTCTGAGAAATGGCTTGGGTGAGAAGAACAAGACCTTATTGACAGGGTTCAATCCTGGTCAGGTCTGTTTCACATCAGTTTATTAAATCCACACAGCACTTCCCTTCCCTTTTAACCCTGCGTCTTTAACACCATTACCTTCTTATTTATATTTCACAGGATCTGAACATACTTTTTTCCATTCCTAGGAGGTTTTAGTAATAGCAAAATCGTTAATGCATATACATGCATATGTAGGTTAAAGGTTGAAATGGGTCTCTTAATTTATAGCAGTCACTAAAGCATATCAATTTAGATAACATAAAACAGGATTATATAGGTTTAACTAATTGCTGCTGTACATAAAATAAAACCTTCTGTGCCACATTATTATTCTCTCCCCAACATTCTTTTCATTTATATGATCATTTTGCTGCCAGTGGTTTAAACAAATTAAAGGTTGGTAATACTTTCATTTTATTTTTCTGCACCTCCTGGTCATCAGGTGCAGTCTGGGATTTTATTGACAAGCAGGCATTCTTCAGTAGTGCCACATAGTTCCCATTTACTGTTTTATTAGGTACACCTATTTATTGCCCATGAAGAGGTGCATGCTTTTGTATACAGTGGCAATCAAATTAAACTTGCTTCATTTGTTAGGTCACCTCTTTTACCAAACCATAGAAAATGTCAGGTCTTTTATCTACAGCTATGCATACAGTGGTGTAATCAGTAAGTTGTAACTTTTTCCTAGGTTTTAAATATTCCACATTCCTTTATTGACACTTCCTGCCTTTATATGAATTAATTATTTCAGTAATAGTCGTCATTGCCAGCCATAAAAATTAAACTGTAGTATCCCATTAAATTTGCAAACAGTAGGGAACTGGCTCCATACATTGATCAGTTTAGTTTATTTTGGTAGTTAGTGGAAAAGTGCTTGTTTACTTTGGTGAGCAGTGGAAGTGTCACCCCTAACATTTTTTGTCAAGTGGAAGAAGTGCCTCATTACAATAGGATTTTAATGGAAGTAATGGCCTTCTTACAGACACCTAAAAAAGAAAAGCTCATTGGTGTCGTTGGTTATTTGAATTAAAAGACTAGAGGTCTCACTAATCTCATAGCCCTGTCTGTTAGGTCAGTGGCTCAAGGGTCTAGGTCAAGTCTTAGTGGTCCATATTTTTCTTTCTCATGCCTGTTGTAGCCTCTGTTCACTTGATTCTCTTCTAGGTTTGGTTTGTTGTACATCACATGAAAATCACATCATAAACATGGTTTTACATAATTTTGATTTAAAGGAGAACTATGGGGTTAAGGCTTTTCTCCATAGTTCTCCTTAGGGTAATGGGAGGACACAAACTAGCATCCTCCCGTCACCCTAAGCTCAGTATACCGCGAACTGCAGCTCGCGGGATACTGAGACGCCGTAGCTGAAGCGGATCCCTACAATTTTATGTCTGGATCCGCCCATCTGCGTGAGTGACAGCTGGCTCTGCCTATCTGCCAGCTGTACCCGCCCCCTCCCCCGTCCGATACGCCAGTTAGCGTTGGCGGATCGGAGGGGGGAATCCAGTCCCTCCCCTGTCACGGCAGAGAGCTGTGACAGGATCGAGAGGTGAGCGAACGCCGGTATGTGTTCGCTCACCTCCCGATCTACTGAGCCGACCTGTGACAGTCTCATTGTCACAGGTCGGCTAGAACTATGAGGTGAGTAAAAAGCACTCACCTCATAGTTCTCCTTTTTAAGGCTCGCTCTAAAGGTGCCCATACACCTTACGACCATCGCAAGACTTTTGTCTTGCGATGGTCGTATGCTTATTGAAAGCTCGTACGATCTGCCCACCTTGGACGGGCAGATCGTACTTGCGATCATCGAAAGCCCGCCCCGCTGAGGGGCGGGCTTCTGATGACTGCAATGCAGAACGGGCAGTGTGCACACCGGCCCGTTCCGCAGCTATCGGAAGAGCAGGCTAGAAACCCGCCAACAATCATACGATTCTCGCCAGGTTTTCGAGCATGTTGGTTCGACAAAAGACGTGCGACCGTACAGTAGAAATGGTCGCACGTCTTCGTTCACACTGCTCGATTCTCGTACGATCGCGGGATTTCGCCCGATTCTCGTACGAGAATCGAGCAGTGTATGGGCACCTTTTAGTCTCCACCAGTTTTTTTTTTCAGTGAAATTAGACTACTAAATGCAGGCTAACATTTGTTACAAGTACTGCAAGTTGTACATGTTTTAGCTAATTTTTGCTCACTTCAATACCCTCCTATAAACTGTTCTTGTTTTACTGCTCAGTACTTTCCAACATCTGTAACATTTCTCAGTGTAATTACAGAAATAGCATTTGATCTATAAAGATTTGTCATTGGATTTTAGTTTATTTGGGCTGTTAAATGTGTATTCCCAAGAGAAGATTGCCTTTTAATGCCCATAGCCAACTAAAACATTTTGCAATGTGATGGGGATAGGAGTGAGTACACCTTGCCGCAGTTTGATTTCCATAGCACTTTATTGCATAATGTTGGCTCCACTAAATTTCATTATATAAGCTTCTCACATCCTTAATCTCTGTATTTTTTCCTCTCTTCCCAGGATGGCTCTTATTTGGCTGAATTCCTGTTGGAAAAGGGCTACGAGGTAAGTCACTGAGAGCAAGCACAAGCTGATGAAATCACTTGCATCCAGCAGCCTCCAGAGCTTCCTCTTTGCTGTCCTTCTATGAGTTTTCCATTCCAACTCCGATAACAAATCAAAACTTCCAAAAAAGAATGTGTAGCATGGCCTGAAATCACGCCAGCTTATTGTACTATTTATCAGTGAGAGTTCGCTAGTGGATTCCCTTGTCTCCTTGGGGTATAAGAGCTGTGTACGTTTCCCGCAAGGTCAGATAAGCAGCAACCTGCACAGGCCAACACTGTAAGGAGTTTTGGAATAATGCATGATGTAATGTACTAGCACATAACCCAAACCCCCTGCCACCCCCCTGATGAATTTACTCTAATTTGAAAATTGTACTAAGCAATACAAAGGTTATTAATCTAGTGCAGGTTTGTGTTTGAAAATGAAGCCAATTTATTTCAAGTCATCCTTGCTTACAGCTTGTACATTGCAACTATCCAAGTTGAACCTTAGGCATTCATGCCAGACCATTCAATTAAACAAAAACATCTTCTCATAAACTATGTGCATGCAACCTATTTTATGCTATTATTTACCTATTGATATTACTAGGAGAAGGGTTGGCCTTTGTAATACCACACCCCCTTATTATAGTACTTTGTTTAGATATGTAACTGCACAGACATTTAAGGTACCAGCATACAATCTTTTTTTGTATAAAAGTATGTTTTATTTCTATAGATAACACGTTTAAAAATACAATTTTTATGTGAAAATAGCAAAACATACTTATACATACATTGAATTCATTATGCCTCTACATATACTCCCATCCACTACTATTTGACATTCTCAGTGTTTAACATCTTGTTTAACCACATGCTGTCCAGCCATTGTAATTAAACAGCTTCTTGAATGCGGGTGGGCGGTTTTAAACATCCTCGTCCGCCTAGCTCGTGCCTGCTGCTAGGCGGCTCACACGAGCGGGAAATATGCTTGAAATGTAAACGGCCAGCGATGTTGACATACAAGCATTCTGGTGTCTGTAGAGACGCCCGATTGCTTGTATTATGCGTGCAAGTGTGGACCCCCCCTCCCCGCCACCGCCGATGCCATACATCTTTCTCTGATCTCCCTGCCAGTCTCTGAATGCATGGAATGATGTGTATTACACCACTTCCGCATTCAGCTGTCATTGCTGACTACAGAAGCTGGGGAGAAGCTGGTGAAGCAGATCTCTGCTTCATCAGCTTCTCTGGGGGTCCCTTAGGTGACTAGGGCGTCTTTGAGACCCCTGATTACGTCATAAAGAGGACCTGTAAATGGCATTTAGGTGACAGGTCTTGGAGACCCCTGATGTCTCCATGAAGAGGTCACTGTAAATTGGCTATCACATAGGGGGCTTCTTAGCACAATTTTAAAGCTTGCCATGTTTGGTGTCGATTTTACCAAAAAATTGGGTAATAGTACATTTTTTATAACATTAAGTAGGGTTTAAAAATTTTTTTGTGGTTCTTTAAATAGTAAAAAATAAAAACCCTACACAGTTTTCATGCCTGCTGCAAACATTTTTTAATATGGTTCCAGGTGACAACTAGGCAGCTTATTTGCATGAGATTCATTTTTAAATTCACTAGAAATTCATATAAACTTATTCACCATACCTGGAGTTATTAAATTTAATCTTTGGAACATGAGGAAGGTGAATAGTGCCTTTACGTTTTAAGGACCCCCAAAAAATGACAATTTTAATTGAAAAAATTTTAAAAAGCCGAGGCGAATCTTAAATGGTAATGCTGTCAGCATTACTGTAAAACTGACTTTTGCAATGACAGCTCCTATGTTCATTTTTGTCTGCATTATTTAGGTCATTTCTAGTATACCACTGCGGTTCCTGATATGTTTATCTTGCATTTCAGGTTGTTTTTCTTTTAATATTAGGCCTCCTGTTGTGATCCAGTTAACCCTATCGATCATTTTCTAGCCCTTTGATTAAATGTTCTTGTCCAATTGCTTCAGTAATGCTCACTAGCTTTGACGCCACAAAGTCGACAGTTCAAAAAGACTGTCATTTTTGCATGCTGTTGCCCTTTCACCTTTTATGCTTTTGTCTGATGTTGAAAACAGCTGAAAATGACATTTACTTCTTGTTGTTATGTTTCACAAAGAGGAAAGGGAGGAAATTGCTGTAAATGTTCAAATGCCCTATTGCTGCATACAGTGGGGCACATGGACAGTAACCTATTTTAAAATTAGTCTGTTCATGGTGTATTACAAAATAGGGTAAAGGGTGAAGATCTCTTGAAATACTGCTGTCTGGATACAAATTGAATTGTAGAATAATTAGGATCCATTTTATTGGTGCTCATTTTCCTCCAGTAATAAACGTGTTTATCCTCTGAGGACATCGGTGTGAGTAGGTTTTGCTTTCATGTTTTGCAGACAAACCTTAAACGGGTATAAAGTTCTTGAATTCTGACTTGATTTCCTACATGCGTGCTCTGGGTTTTAAAGTGATAAAATTAAAGACAACTTCAGAAGGCTACAAAATAATTTTACAGGATTTAGTTAAAGCCCAATACCATCCTCAGGAAAGCAATGTGACCGAGCTGGACCTAATGTAGCTCTCCTTGTTCTGTGTCCACTGTGCTAGTCTGTGCCTTGAATGCTACTGTGCAGTTTGTGGCTGTTGTATAACTCTGGGCTGGATGACACCCAGCAAATTTGGTGAAATTGCTGAAAACATCTTAGAGCTGAGCATATCCACTGGACCAATCTCCCAGCAAATATTGGATCCAGAGATTCCTTACAAGATTCAACTGCATTTGTCCATCTGTTTCCACCAATATTAATTCTACTTATGCAAGACTCTATCAACTGCCTGCATAATGAAATCTTGAAGTACAGCAGAGATGACATTCTTATTTCTGGTAAAATCTTGTAGGGAATGTTTGAGCATTTTTTTTTGCATTCAGGATTAAAGGAGAACTATGAGGTGAGTGAAAGTCACTCATCCTCATAGTTCGAGCCCACGTGCGACAATAAAACTGTCACACGTCGGCTCAATTGATCGGGAAGTGAGCGAACATACCGCCGCTTCTCACTTCTCGATCATCTCCCTGCAGAGAGCGGTGACTGTCACGGCTCCCTGCAGGGATTCCCCCCTTCCCACTCCGATCCTCCAGCGCTGACTGGTGGAACAGAGGGGAGGGGCGGGCACAGCTGGCTCTGCCTCTAGATAGGCAGAGCCAGCTGTCACTCACACGCTGGGTGGATCTCGACAGCATCGTCTGGATCCATCCCAGCTGCGGCGGTCTTAGTATACCACGAGCTGTAGCTCGAGATATACTGAGCTTTGGGTCACGGGAGGACGCTGGTATATGTCCTCCCGTGACCCTTAAGAGCACTATGGGGAAAAACACTTACCCATAGTTCTCTTTTAATGTCCTTGCATTTCTGGGTTCAGAGCTGCTAAAATCCAGGTAAACAATAGCAGTGTCTGTGCTGATTGGCTGTAGCAGAGGGCAGTGGCGATATTGGGGAACAATCTTGTAATGGCAATAAAGTTAAGTGTAAAAGTTTAAAATGCAAACATTTCAATACTGAAAGATTTAAACCCAGAGCACACACATACGTAATTTTTCACCACTTAGGCAGCACATGCAGTTTTGTGGCTTGCCATTTTTGGTATCTATTTACGGGACACAAATATTTTGTACACGTATAGGGAAATATATTGTGTGCACTAAAATTTAATTTTACTGTTACTGCAAATATAGATAAACCATTGCACAATTAACATGCAACATAAATTGCAGCTACCATCTCTGTATTCTATAGGGCCGCTATGTTCAGAAAAAAAAATGTATGAGTTTAGTAGTCTACCAGCAAAAATGCAGATTTTAATGTGTGCAAAAAAAGAGATTTTACAGTAGCGAAGTGGTTAAAAAGTAAAGCCAAACCTTCTCTTTTTTATTTTTGGCTTTACGTCCCTTTTGGCTCACAGAAATGTAGTAATGTACTCCTTTTTACCCAAAGTCAGCAGATAGCGAGCTGATTGCTGTCTGCTGACAGCACAGATCCTCCCCGCAGCTGAGCCTGATCCCGATGATCCTGCCCTGCTCTAGTGCTTGCCCCCACCCCTGCCCCTCCTAGTAAGTGCTGAACAGAGGGGGGAATCCCTGCAGGGGGCAGTGACTAAGGGCTTGTTCACACGACGTCCGTATTGTGTCTGGACCAGAACCGTGCGCTCCTGGACCCAAACTGTATCCCTATGTGTTTTGTGGGCTACAGTTCTCATGTGCACAGTCCGTTCCGGTCCGGACAGAGAAAATACTCACTGCATGTCACATTTTGTCCGGTCCGGATACGGGAACACGTCAAAAACGCACTGCACGCATAGCACTCTGTCTGCGGATCTAGACCGGAAAATCGTGTGAACAAGCCCAAAAGGTCACTGCTCAGCTCAGGGACTCTTCCTCTCTGCAGAGCAATCAGTGGTTACTTGATCACTCAGAGTTTGGTATAGAGCCAATGTGAGTGACTGCTGCAGTGTCATCAATGGCCATATTTGGACAAATACCAAATATGGGCAGTAATGTCATGGGAAACCCCTTCCTCAGAATTCCCTATCAGTGCTCAAATAGGGTTTGAGCAGCTCCAATTTCCTTTCACCCGCCGATGCTGAAGGGACACACCAAGGGTCCTCAAACCAAATGAGGGAGGGGCAACTGCTAACTTGCCCCTTACTGAATCAGACATCATTAGCATCTTTGGACATCAACTGGAAACTCTAAAGGTTAATATTAAGATAGAATATATATATACATCTTTTTTTTGTTGGATAATATACCCCGCCCCCCCCCCCAAAAAAAAACAACCTAAAATTAAAAGTGGGGTCTACTAAACATACCAAAGAAAGGGATGTAAGTGAACACACGAAGAGAGGGCACTGTTGTGCCGATTATACTGTAGGCTACATTACTGTAGGTTGAATGCCAGCAAATATGCACAAGAGC